AGGTGAATGGATGAAGAAAATCTAGTATATACACACAAGGGAATATCATGCTGCCTTTAAAACGAATGAAATCCTGTCACATGCTACAACATGGATGAGCCTCAAGGACGTTATGCTAATTGAAATCAGCCAGTCACAAAAGGACAAAATCAGTATGATTCCACTCATATGAAGTATCTAAAGTAGTCAAAATGATAGAAATAGAACGTAGAAAGTGGTTTCCAAGGGCTAGGGAGAGTAAGGAGGGTAAACTAGTGTTGAAGGGTAAGGAATCTCAGTTTAACAATATGAAACAGTTCTAAAGATTTGTAGCACAACAGTGTGGGGATACATAACACTACCAAACTGGACACTTAAAAATGGGGAAGATGGTGAATTTAATGTTATGTGTTTTTTACCTCAATTAGAAAGAAAGAAAGAAAGAAAGAAAGAAAGAAAGAAAGAAAGAAAGAAAGAAAGAAAGAAAGAAAGAAAGAAAGAAAAAGAAAAAGAAATCTGGGGCGCCTGGGTGGCTCAGTTGGTTAAGCATCTGCCTTCGGCTCAGGTCATGATCCCAGGGTCCTGAGATCAAGCTGCACATGGGGCCTCCTGTTTAGCGGGGGGTCTGCTTCTCCCTCTGCCTCTCCCCTGCTCATGCTCTCTCTCTCTCAAATAAATAAATAAATAAATAGAATGTTTTTAAAAAAGGAATCAGAAGTGACTATATTAATATTTGACAAAATAGACTTTCAGGCAGAACATTATTAGAGATAAAGTGGGAAATTTCAAAATGATAAAGGGGTCAATGGATCAAGAAAACATAACAATGAAAGTATTTATGCACCTAATATCAGAGCTTCAAAATAGCTTAAGAAAAAACTAACAGAACTAAGGGGAGAAATAATCAAGTCCAAAATCACAGTGAAAGATTTTAAGATCCTGCTCTTGATAATATTTAGAACAAGTAAACACAGAAAAATCAATAAAATATCTAAAAAACACTATAGTTCAGGGATTGGTGAACTGTAGTCTATGGGCCAAATCCCATGAATAAAGGTTTACTGGGAAACGGCCACACTCACTTGTTTTTATATTGTGGATGGCTATCTGTATGTGGCTCTTTCACAGAATTGAGTAGATGCAACAGAGACCACATGCCTTGCAAAGCCTCAAATACTTACTGCCAAGCCCTCTGTGGGAAAGTTTGCTAACTCTACTCATTTCAAGAGTGTGACTGACTGGTAGGGCTATTGTACAATAGCTGCTTTGAAGTCTTTGTCAGATCATTCCAACATCTCTGTCAATTTTGCTGTTCGTGTCTGTTGATTGTTTTCCCATGTGAGTTGAGATTTTCTTGGTTTTTCATATGACAAGTAATTTTGGATTGTCTCCTGGAAATTTTGAATATAATGTAATGAGACCCCAAGTCTTTTTTAAATCCTATGGAGAATGTACTTATTTTTGTTTTAGGCAATAGACCTGCTTAGGTTCATACTACAAGTTCAACCTGCTCTCTGTGAGTTGTTCAAATTTAGGTTCAGTTTCTAAAGCTTTTGCAGAACCATTAGGGTAGGTCCTAAATATGTACTACCCAGTGGTCATCTGGAACCTGATCAATGGTCTGTTAGTTCTGTTCTCAAAGTCACTGCTAAACTGATCAGATCCATGTATGCACAGCTCAGTGAGCTTGGAAGTTCTCATACAACTTAATGGGATTTTCCTATAAAGTTAAGAAAGAGCTCTTCTTTCTCCATAATCTCCCCAGTACTTTCCAGTACTGGTTCTGTGGCCAGAAAGCTGGGGCTAGAAAGTTACTCCATCATTGTGTTCCTCTGTGACTATTCCTATCTTTGGCCAAGTGGTAGGACGCAGAAAGAGAGGGGAGGAAAAGCAAGAGAGATTGGTTGGCTGGAAAGGAATGTTCCCCTTCCTCAGAATTCGGCTCCTCCTGGCTCCTGTTGTGGCCTTTGCTGTGGCCAACAAGGGACGGCTTGGCAGCCAAGGCTCAAGAAATGGGGAGAAGAAAACAACAACAACAACAAAATGGAGAATTCCACACCCTCTCTCTGAGGGTTAGGTGTGTCCAGCTACTCAGCCAGAACTCCAGGGCTTCTCCTGGAGCTCTCCCTACACACATCCCACTTCCCACTTCTGGGCTTCAGGCTGCATTGCATTCAGGCCAGCAGATATCAAAGGAACAATAGTGGTAAACTCACCTCTAGTTCACGGGCACTTTAAGTCCTCTTTTCATTCAACCTGCTATTATTTACTTTTCAGTCTTCCTATGGGTGCACTATGCAGTCTGTCTGGGTTTAATGATTACAGTCAGTGGGAGAGGCAGGATGGAGTGTGATTGCTCCATTCTTACCCTGAACAAGAACCCCAGTAAGAGATTAAAGAGGGGATATCACTACAGATCTTACAGACATGAAAAAGACAATAGAGAATATTACAAATTTTATGCCAATAAATTTGACAGTTTAGATGACATAGACAAATTGCTTAAGAATACAATTTACCGAAACTAACACAAAAGAAATAGAATAGCTTTAGATTTATTAAAGAAATTGAATTAGTGATCAAAAAACCTTCCAGAATACCCCAGCCCAAAATGGTTTCACTAGTGAATTCTATCAAACATTTAGGGAAGAAATAATAACAATCTTACAAAAAACTCTTTCAGGGGGCACCTGGGTGGCTCAGTCAGTTAAGTGTCCGACTCTTGATTTTGGCTCAGGTCATGATTTCAGGGTCGAACTCAGCAGGAAGTCTGCTTGGATTCTCTCTCTCCATCTCTCTCTGCCTCTCCCTTGAACACTCTCTCTCTTTCGAAAGTAAATAAATAAATCTTTTTTAAAAACCCTCTTTTGGAATACGAAGGAGAAAGGCATGCTTTTCAACTTGTTTTGTGAGACTGGCATATCTCTGACACTAAAACTTACATGACACAAATACAGAAAACATTCATAAAATATAAGTGAATTGGGGTGCCTGGCTGGCTCAGTCAGAGGAGCATGAGACTCTTGATCTTGAGGTCATGGGTTCGAGCCCCATGTTGGGTGTAGAGATGACTTAAGTAAATAAAACTTTAAAAAATTTTTAAAAATATATGTAAGTGAATCAAATCCAACAATACACAAATGCATCATGAGAAAATGGATTTTATCCCAGGAATACAGAGTTGGTATGACAAGATCAATCAGTATAACGTCCTATATTTAGGTAATAAAGGAAAAAACTATATCTCAATTGATTCAAAAAAGAAAAAAAAAGCATTTGACAAAATTCAACATCCAAACTCACTGCTAACAATTGCTAACTCATGGTCAATCTAGTTTTTTTTTTTTTTTTAATTTTATTTATTTATTCAACAGAGAGAGACACAGCGAGAGTGGGAACACAAGCAGGGGGAGTGGGAGAGAGAGAAGCAGGCTTCCCGCTGAGCAAGGAGCCCGATGCGGGGCTCGATCCCAGGACCCTGATATCACGACCTGAGCCAAAGGCAGACGCTCAATGACTGAGCCACCCAGGTGCCCCTCTAGTTTTATTTTTGACCCCTTCAACTTCCTCTCCTTCCAGTATGATTTTGCAGCAAACCCTTATTGAGCCCCTGCTCTGTGCCAGGCCCTGGGCTGGGGTCCATGTACAGAGCAGCCAAAAAGTCCTGCTGCCAGGCGGTCACATTCAGGAGGGGAACAGGTAAATGGTGAATGAATAATAATTTCAGAGAGTGAGGTTACAATGACAATAATAAAAACCAATTATGGCAGAGAGTGACTTGATGGGCAAGGGTGTATGTATTGGGGGAGAGTTTATTCCAGTAGTGAAGGAAGGCCTCTTGAGGGGGTGATATTTGAGGTGATCTTGGAATGATAAGGAAAAGCAGCCATGGGAAGGATCCTCACTCAAAGCAGAGAACAGCAAAGGCCCTGCAGTAGGTCTGAACAGGACATGTTGAGTGACAGAGAAGGCCAGTGTAGCAAGGCTCAGGGTGGGCAGGTGAGACAAGGTGAGGTCTGAAGTGGGGCAGCAGCCAGCCATGCAGGAACCTGCAGAACACAGCCAGGCGATAGTGTTCCAGGTGCAATGAGGAGCCCAGAGACTCTGAGCAAGGATACTCCCTGTCCCAAAAAAATGACTTACATTTTAAGAAGGCCAGTTTGCTCCATGAAGAATGGACTGGGAGAGAGGAAGCAGGCGAGAGAGGATGCAGGATGAGAAAATGTCAGGGGCCATGACAGGGGTGCAGGCAAAAGGAAAGAATGGCCAAGGTGTGCAGAGAAGTGAGCAGATCTGCTCCTGGTGGGGAGGTGGCAGTCCAGGGCAGACTGGCTGCAAGGGGTAGGAAGGGGAGGCAGCAATGACACTGGGTGGGGCTGAGACAGAGGAAGACTGGGTGGCTGGGCAGGTTGGTGGGGGAAATCACGAGTGCCGTCTGGGCCGCCCTGCGTCAGAGAAGACAAGTTGCAATGCAAGCAGAGATGCTGAGGAGGCATCTGGATATAGGAGTGTGGTGTTGAGGCGAGAGAAGAACTGAAGGGAAGTGTGCTGGGGGGCAGGGGAAGTAGGCGTGCGTGCACATACAGTGCATCTCTCCTCTTTTCTGCTGTATTGGTTACGGAAGCAGATGAAGAATCCAGAAACAGATGCAGCGATGTTAAAAAGCTTCTATGTGATAAACTGGCATTTCACCTATGCCATGGGGTTATGAAGACTGTATGAGTTACAAGTAAGATGCTTAGAAAAGTGCCTGCCACATATTCAGTGTCCATTACATTTTTTTAAACTTCAATTCCAATAGCAAAAGAGTAATTTACCTACTAAGAGATATCCACATAACTTGCTAACCATCTAGAAAAATGTGTCAGATCTCTACCCTATACTTAAGTAAAAATACATTTCGTATTGATTAAAGATGTGCATGGAAGAAATTAAACTAGAAAAGTATGAGAAAAAGATTTGGATGAATCGTTAGTTGTCTAGTCTTGGCATAAATGAGGCTTTTTTATTTTATTATTTAAAAAAATTTTTTTAAGAGCTTTACAAATTTGCATGTCATCCTGGCACAGGGGCCATGCTAATCTGCTCTGGATCCTTCCAATTTTAGTATATGTGCTGCCAAAGCAAGCGCTACATGAGGCTTTTTTAAAGCTACCCAGGAGGGGTGCCTGGGTGGCTCAGTTGGTTAAGTGGTTGCCTTCAAGTCAGGTCATGATCCCAGGGTCCTGGGATCGAGTCCCACATTGGGCTCCCCGCTCAGTGGCGAGTCTGCTTCTCCCTCTCACTCTGCCCCTCCCCCTGCTTGTGGTTTCTCTCTCTCTGTCAAAAAAATAAATAAAATCTTTAAAGCTATACAGGAAACCCAGACCCAATAATGAAAAACATTTGACCACATACAAAGTCCTATATGGCAAAAATGCTATAAACCATGCCAAAGATAAGAGGTAAGAAAGTATTGCATTATATGTGACAAGAAGAGGATAAATTTTCCCAAGACACAAAGATCTCTTAGAAACTGATAAACCCAACAGAAGATTTCTCTTCACAGGAGAAAATGCAAAGCATCAAGGAACATGTGAAAAGAGACTTTATCTGACTAGTATTTAGGTGAACCAATGGCCATCATATCTTCTGACCCAGCTTTCTCAGATATTGATGCTGGGAGTGCACATTGCTACAACCTATTTTGGATGAGCTGGCAAATAAAAATGTGCACATCATTCCACTCTGTAATTTCTCTTTTAGGAATTCAGACAAAAGAAATAAAAAGCACCAGAATATATAAGATTTTTTGCTGTTGCAAAAATATATGTACTGACCTGGAAAGGTCTGTGGTTAAGGAAAAAGGCAAGTTATATAGTAAGGGACTTTCTATTTTTGGTTTAGCTTTTTTTGTGTATGTTTGGTTTTTTAGTGTGTGTGTGTGTGTGTGTGGTGAGAGGGGATTTATACACATCCATTTACTTACGTGTGGACATAGAGGAGAAGATACCCAACTACTAAATGCTGATCAGTCACAGAAGTAGGATGGGAAGGTGAGAAGAGCAGATGTAATAACTTTTCTTTTGAAAAATTAAAATATGTCTATACAGATGTAAATATATTTTTCTCTTTACAAACTTCTGTACCATTTTGACGTAGACAGGCCAGGTCTGAGGACCCAGAGGCTAAGGATACCTCTTGGTAAGAGGATCCTTGGCTTTGTGCAGGAGAGCAATCAGGAAGTGGGAAGTGAAAGCAGTTTATTGAATAGTGTAAGTGACAGAGTATAGCAGATGGAGAGTCTGGGAGACTCAGAAAGGAAAGGAGAGTGAGCCTCTTCATCACTTGGGGTGAGGGGTTCATTTTGGAAGGCGGTCCAGGGTACATGTTCCTTCAGGAATCCAGGGTAGGGTCGAATTCAAAGGTGAGTGACAGGTGAGTAATAGGTGTTATTTCATAAGTCATTGAAGGTGGGGGTATTGATGCCAGTGTTGGGTGAGGTTTGTTCAAATCTAATGTCCTGGAACATGTTTGAGATTCAGTTCTTCTTAGATGTTATCAGGTATTTGGATGCCTAGGACAAAACTCAAAGAATGATTAACTTTCTTGCCTCCCCCTTGGAGTGGGAACATAGCTTCTTTGGTTTATTCAGAAGCAAGGTGAAATATAATGAGCAAATGGGGCCTTGCAGAAAAACAGCAGAGATGGAGTCTTTCTAAAAATGGAATCCTTTTCAGTTTCCCTATCTCAATTTGAGTCCTTTTGGATATTGAAAATGAAGGCTAAATAAGGGCCTAGTCTCCAGAGTTTATTTTTTGAAACTCTAACAATTCAACAACAAACGGCAAACAACCCAATTTTAAAATGGGCAAAGGACTTCAATAGACATTTCTCCAAAGAAAATATACAAGTTGTCAACAAACACATGAAAGAATGCTCAACTCATTATTCACTAGGAAATGCAAATCAGAACTACAGTCACACTCATTAGGATGGTTAGAATAAAAAATAAATTTAAAAAAATAAACAAAGGTGGAAAATGAGGGTTGGGGCAGATGTGGAGAAATTGGAATCCTTGTTAAACATGGAATTACCATATGACCCAGCATTTTCACTCCTACGTGTTTATCCAAAAAAAAAAAAAAAAAAAAACACCCCAGAAAACAGACATGTTCCTAGCAGCAATATTCACAACAGCCAAAAGGTAGAAACAACCCAAATGTCCATCATGGATGAATGGATAAACAATACTTGGTATGCATACAATGTAATATTCAGTCATAAAAGGGAATTAAGTTTGATATAAGCTACAAGGTGGTTGTACCTAAAAAACATGATACTAAGTGGAAGAAGCCAGACACAAAGATCACACCTATGATTCCATTTTCAAGAAATGTCCAGAGTAAGCCCATAGAGCCAGAAAGCTGACTAGTTGTCGCCAGCGGCTGGGAGGGAGGGGAGAATGGGAAGCAACTGCTATATGGGGATGGGGTTTCCTTCTGGACGATAGCAATGCTTCCAAACTCCGTAACAGCGCTGTTTGCGCAACACCGAACTGTTAACTTTCTGCCGTGTTCCATGAAGAACGGGGAAAGAAGGTAAGCTGGCTCGTGCACGGACAGCCCTGCTCTTCCCTCCCAGGCCCGCGGCCGCGCCACCGGCGGCCTCCTTGCGGGCCGCACACCGCCTGCCCGGCCCCAACCAACACCCCGGATGGAGAATCTAGAAGGCGACGTGGGCTGAGGAAATGACAACAGGGGTACCACAGAAGACGCTATCAGGAGCGAGAAAGAGAGGCTGGCCGAACTGCCCCGAGCGGACGTCGCCACCCCAGCTGGTCACACTGCTCCGCGCAGGCGCAGGTCTGCGGCGGGTCCGCTCGGGCCCGCGGGGACGGGGCGGAGCCTAGGGGGCAGGGCCGGAGGCGAGGGAAACCGGAACTCCTCAGCCGCGGGCGCCGGTTTCCGGAAGGAGCTTGGATTCCGCGGTCCAAGTCCGGCAGCCTGCGAATCCGGCTTCCGGAGACTCCTCTTGTCGCTCGGCTTATCGGCGTGGGGGTGGCGGTAACGATGAGGCAGAAGCACTACCTTGAGGCTGCGGCGCGGCAACTACACGAGAGCTGCCCGGGCCAGGCCCGCTATCTCCTGTAAGAGAGGGGCGGGAGAGGGGAGGCGGGCGGCGGCGGCGGCGGCGGGGGTCTTCCCTCCTCCCTCACCGGTCTCCTTCTCCTTTCCAGCTGGGCCTACAGTTCGTCACACGGTAGGGAGAACGTCCGACGCTTGTGGGTCAGGCTCTCGTCGCCGCGCTCCCCTGCGTTCCGCGCAGCGCTCAGGATGACGCAAAAGAGAAATCTCACGGACCCACTGCTCTCATAAAACCCCCCAGTGGCTTCTGTTTCGTGAAAACTCCCAAATTCCCTGGACGTCTTTTCTAGTTACACTCACTTCCTTGGTGACGGCTTCTCATCCAGTCTCATGGCTTCCAAATTTATACCCCCAGCCAGGACTTCGCCCCATTCTAGGCTCATAGCCAGATGTCTTCTTGACACCTTTTGAATGTCTGTCAGGCCAAAGCTCGAGCTTTACCCCCCAACACAGTCCTCCTCCAGTTCTTCCCAATTCAGTAAATGGTAATTCCATCCTTAGAGTGAACTCAGCCCCCCAAACCCTGGGGCCATTCGTGACTCCCTAATAGCCTCCCTCCCCAAGCCACTGGCCAGCAAATACGCCTTTTGGCATATTTGAACCTAAGCTGCTTCTCACCAGTTCATCTTAGCGTCCTGGACCGAGTCAACGGCTGGGTTATTGCCAGCAGCGCTCATGCATTTCTACATCCATTCTCAATTGAGCAGCCATGTGAGCGCAGGAGAAACCTAAGCTTGATCATGTTCCTTCTCTGCCACAAACTCTCAAATGACTTCCCATGTCAGAGTAAAAGTGAAAATCTTTTTTTTTTTTTAAGTGAAAATCTTTGAAAAGGACTACGAGGCCCTACATCAAAAGCCCACATTACCTCTCCGACCTGCTCACTCAACTCCAACCACTGTTAGGCCTCCTTGCTCTTTCACAGCCTCGAAGTTGCCCTTCCTCTGCCTGGAACTCTTAGCTCACATACCTGCGTGGATTCCTTCCTTGTGTCCTTCTGCTCTCTACAGATGCCCCGCCACAAAGCCTTCGTTGGCTACCTTAACTAAGACCAGGGCAGCTCCATTGCTACTCTTTATCCCTGTCTTTTTTTCTTCCCCGCGCTACACATTTGGTGTTGCTATATTTACTTTCTGCATGAATTGTCCTTTATTCACTGTTCTGTCTGTTGTACCCAGAACTGTGCCTGGCACTTGACAGTCACTCAATAAATATGAATGAATTTAACATTTGGCAGAAGTGAGTTACAAGCACGGTCCTTAGTTGTTGTATACTTAGCAGAGTGCTCACTAACAAATAATTGTTGAATAAATCCATGGTGTGCCTACCTTCCTTTCCAGCTGCATCACCCCCACACCCTCACCTTTCCCTAATAGCTGTGCTTTCTTTTTCACTGTACTTCCACCTGAAAGCCCTTTACCAGTAATGGATGCCATCTCCAAGTACAGATGTTTGGAGTATTTGACCTTTGTCAAGCCACTTCTTAGGAGTGTTTCGGCAGGTCCATACAGAGTTTAATAGTTTCCAGGGCATTTTAATCATATTCTGTTACATTTGTCACCAGTCTTATTTTTGTCTGCTTAGGGCTCCCCTAGAATGTGAGTTATTTAAAGATAGCAGCTCTTTTACTCCTTAGTTATGACTCCTCAGCCTAACATGGTAGATGGCTGTCTTGATCGCATAGACAATCTGGGGCAAGTCTGTTCTCCTGTTACCTTGTACTGAGAGCTACCTGCAGAAAGCCTGGCCCACAAATCACAAAATTGTGAAAATGACAGTGTAATTTACTGATTCGTGATGAATATGTTTGTAAAATTGGTGAGACAGCTTTTTTTACTTAGTAACAAGTAATGAGTAAGGTAGCAAAGAGTGGGGACTTAACCTGTCTGCTGCTAAAAGGAGTGAATGGATAGAATTACAGTATTTTGCACAATAAATTAATGCCAATTTGTCTTTTTTGCAAGTTCTCATATTTTGAGTTTGCTTAAAGAGAATATATATCTGT